AGATGCATACCATTAGAATCGGGAGAAAATTCTCTTTCTAATGATATGCATCTCACGAAATCGTGAAAAAACAGACTTACGACCATTCTCTGGGACCCTAGCGAGATCCGACACTATACGCAACCGCTCCGAGGCACGACCTTATACGCAGCCGCTCCGAGGTACGACCTTTTAGTTTTCAGGGGTCGCTATACATGATACGTAGATGTTATATATGAAGTTTTGAAAAGTCAAACTACTCAAGACATCCGTTATTACTTTCACTTATGATCTTCACGAAACTTCTGTAGGCATCTCCAAGATCCCAAAATGCAGGAGAATGAGCAAGATGTTGGAGGACCTCTTTGTAGAGGTCTCCCAATGCAGCAAAAATTTTGTCCTTGTCTGGATACTTTGAGGCATTTCCTGTTAATTTAAAGAAAAACACAACTTTCACATAATTGAAGAATAGAAAACGCGATTCAAGTTCAGTTGAGTACAAATACTTACTTTCAATGGCGTGAACCTGCACGTAATTTTTAAAAGACCTCAAGCACACATAAGGCTTACCACAATCTTTGCAATGGTATTTGGGAGGAATCTTTGGTTCGAGGAATTACGAGGAATTATGGGTGCCTGCTTGAACGAAGGTCTTGATGCTTTACTGACAGATGGTCTGTTTATTTTTCGGAGTTGATGGATCAAATGCAGAAAAGCTGAGCTGGCTCAAGTCCAGCTCACTCCACATGGACGAATTGTTATTTAAGTCTCCCTGGAAATAAATTTAATAATTAGTACAAACGTAAATAATCTAAACGGCTGCCGAAAGGCATGGAAACAGCTAAACTTGAACGAAGTATATCTGACTTCTGCAGCAACTGCTGTACTATTCTATCGTCAATATCGAAAGAGCAGAGTTTGAAGGCTACAATTCGAAATAATTTATTCACTGTCAGTAAATTACTTACCATCTTGGACCTCACAATAATCACCAACGATCTCACGCATCACACGTCTCGCCCGCCCACCTGGGCGGCGGGGGCAGCCATATTGGTCGGTGATGATACTATCATGCCTAGAGGGAGGGGGCAGAACCATCGCGTGATAGTTATGCCCCCTCCCTCTAGGGGGCAAAATCATCACGTGATAATTGTGCCCCCGGTATACCCATCAGCACAAATTTTGACGCGCAACAGCCATCTTTAGGTATAAGAAGCAAATATACCGAGGTTGAACCGAATCGGGGATTTACACCTACCTAAGTCTCCTTGTTAGACCATCAGTGGTTTCAGAAAAGATTGTAACTTTAGCAGACCTATGAATTAAAAATGTTTGTCCTGCTGTATGTACGAGGAAACATCCGAGAGAAAGGTTTAATTCATAATATCACAGATTGTTGTTCAGTTTGTGTATAATATCAGAGTGTGTGGAGCAGCGAGAGAGCGGAGTAGAGGACGACGCACACGGAAGGTGCGAGGGTGCCGGCGACGCTGGGTGACGCAGGCGTTGCGGGTTCTGTGGGCGTCGAGGGCGTCGAGGGCACGAGCACCAGGGGTACGGCGCGGTCCTCCATCATGCGCTTGAAGAAGAAGTGCGACCTCTTGAGGGTCCGGGCGAGCGTGCCGCCCTCGTAGTCGACGTGCACCAAGCCGAACCCGCGTCTGCGGAGACATATCATTGAGTGGGCAGCAGACCGTGCACGTGCAGTCAGGGAGTAAAAGTTACATAACAGTACCTTTACAGGTTACTTTAAAAGTTACCCTTTAAAAGTAACATTTCCTCCGCGTTACTTACGTGTAGCCCCCGCTCCACTCAAAGTCGTCGAGGAAGGACCACATGGTGTAGCCCAGCACGTTGACGCCGTCCTCGTTGACGGTCCGCATCAGCTCGCGCAGGTAGGCCTGAGGGAGGATAGCATTCGGTGACCACGGCGTCGATGGCACTCCATTCACCAAAATGTGCCATTGATTTCACGTCAAAAAGTTCCTCCGTTGATCATAAAGAAATTCTGACAGTGGTCTACAGCTCAATTCCGTTAAATCAAGCGGAATTCCTCTAAATTAACTGAATTCTGCTTTGACTCATACTCAAAATTTTCTTTAGAACAACGGAAGCACTTCGTGACATGAGTTCAAAGGATTGTTTTTCTGGGTGGTGTCACCACTGATGCCAAGGGGCATGTCAGTACTCACGCTGTGGTACACAGCTCGCGTGTCCCAGTCGTCCATCGGGCTGTTGTACAGGCCCATGCCGTTCTCTGTGAAGAAGATACCCAGCTTCGGGCCGTAGTTGGCCCTGATCCACAGGGACACGTCGCGTAGCATCCATTCGGTCATCTGCGCAGAACCGATTGTGAGATGGTCGTAAGGGGCCAGGCTACTGGAAATTCAAGTGCGCGAATGCCATACATTTGTAGGTGTGTTTAAACCCATTCGTACACTTAAGGGGTTAAATATGTGAATTTTTCTTTGAAATTCACTCACTGTGTGCCTGTGTGTGTGTGTACGTATTGCGTTCGTACTAATGATACTCTAAAAACAATAGTACAAAAATTCGTAATTTGGATATGCAGTTTTTTCAGCATCCGATCCGTGATACAAAAAATTGTATTTTTTCGGATACAAAAACAAATTTGTAATACGGATACAGAAATTTTTGTAACTACTGATACAGGGCAAAATATTTTTATGTTTATGATCTGATATGTAAGAAAAATATTTTTTTTCCTGTTGGCTGTCCCATTCTAGATGTTGCCCTAACATGATGGACCATTAACTTCAAATTTGAACCTTTCACTACCAGGACTTGAACCCCGAACTTCTGGGTTGGGATTCGACGCTGGTTAAGGCGACTCCCTGCGAGCAGCTGTGCTCCGACCCGGTGTCATTCTTTTCCATGTACTGGCTTGCTCCAGAGCCTTTACCTTAGCCATCGGGCTAACAGATCGACCCCTGAAAACTAAAAGGTCGTACCTTGGAGCGGCTGCGTATAAGGTCGTACCTCGGAGCGGTTGCGTATAGTGTCGGATCTCGCCAGCGTCCCAGAGAATGGTCGTAAGTCTATTTTTTGTCGATTTTTCGAGATGCATATAATTAGAAAGAGAATTTTCTCCCGATTCTAATGGTATTAATCTCGCAAAATCTACAAAAAATAGACTTACGACCATTCTCTGGGACGCTGGCGAGATCCGACACTATACGCAACCGCTCCGAGGTACGACCTTATACGCAGCCGCTCCGAGGTACGACCTTTTAGTTTTCAGGGGTCGAGATGGGATTTGTATGTAAATCAGGGATGGAAAACGAAATTAAATTCCCGGGGGGACCTTCCACTGAGGGGACCTTCCAGAATCTACCCGAAATTATATAGGGGCTCTGAATATAATTTCATTCCGAAATGAAATGAAATATTAAATTACATTTCGTTTTCCATCCCTGATCCCTGGGTAAAAAAACCATGGGGCTGTCCATGAGCCATGGACATAAATTTAACCATGGATTTTTCTGACCATAGATTTATGAAACCAGTAAACCATGAAAACAACAGTTGACCATGAGTACATAGTGGATGGATTGCATGGCCATGGTTAATGTGCTCCATGGCAAGGGATG